CACTTTTGGTGGCATCGGTAGGTTTGCTGAGATTCTCTTTCCGCTAAAGCCTTCCAAAGAGCGTGAGGAAACTTAAGGCGACTTTTCTAAATGTTAAGTTGTGGATTTAAATTTTACAGCATTTAAGTTTATTTTTATGATTGAAATTGTTTTAAATTCTTGAGATTCTATTGTATAATCAATTGCCATACAATATTGATATTCCTAAATTCCTAAAATCCCATCTGTTGAAACATTAGCTTATTGTTACTCCGCTTAATTCAAGTTTTTATAAATTTCTAACGCAATTCTTAATTTGTTTCACATCACACCATCAACAATCACTTCAATCAATCCATCAATCAAATCAACATTGGTGGCATCGGTAGGTTTGCTGAGATTCTCTTTCTGCTAAAGCCTTCCAAAGAGCGTAAGTGAGGAAAACTCAAGATGACTTTTCTAAATGTTAAGTTGTGGATTTAAAGTTTACAGCATTTAAGTTTATTTTTATGATTGAAATTGATTTAAATTCTTGAGATTCTATTTTGTAAACAATTGCCATGCAATATTATTCCTAAAATCCCATCTGGTGAAACAATTGTTACTCTGCTTAATTCAAGTTTTTATAAATTTCTAACGCAATTCATAATTTGTTTCACATCACACCATTTACAATCCATCAACAATCACTTCAATCAATCCATCAATCAAATCAACATCTCAACCCAGTCAATCAATCAATTGCTACACTCAATCAATCATCCAGTCTCCGGTTAGACTTCAATCACTTTCAATCAACAACCCACACTCCAATCACTTCTAAAGATTACATTCACTCATCATTGATCATCAATTATCAATCAACCAGAACAATTGCAGCTCTACACTGCATTCAGGCAGCTCAGTGCACTGGCCTTCATGACCTAATCATGTTCAAATCACTTCACTAGAAATTTCACATTTAGGCTTGTATTGAATCACTTTTGGTTTTGTTGGGTTCGTCTTGTCAAGACGTTCAATTCGACTATAAGTTTACTGAAATTCAAGTTCAGAAGATCTTGAATTTAATTATGGAAGTTTTCAATTTAACTTTTTCTTGAGATTCGTGCTAATCATGCCAAATTTTTGTTGATATATTATTACTATTTGTAAGGAATTTAAGCACTAGTTTTACAATGGGTTGGGCCGTTGGGGAGAAGTAAACCACACAACGAAACAAACAAGAAATAAAAAATTGCAGCAGAAAGAAAGAACACCAAGATTTAACTTGGAAAAACTCAAAACTGAGAAAAACCACGGAGCCACACCACACCAAGACATCTATTATAAAAATTAGGAGAAATAGTACATATCTCTCTTATCACTATCTCTCTTTATTTTTCTTCTCTCTAGCACCGTCCTTCCACAAGAACAAACCAATAGATTTTTCAATAAACACCAAGGGACACCATCCTTAAATGAAAAACGATAAAGAAAATTGCTTTGTCCGTCTCGCAGAGCCAAGTTGGAACGCTGCAGCGCTCAATTCTTTGTCTCCCGTCTGTATGAGAGCGCCGCAGCGCACCGGGGTCTTGAGCGCCACAGTGCCCCTGGCAGTGGGCCGCCGCGCTGAGGTTTGGAGCACCCCACATTCTGCTCTATCTTTTTCCACCAAACTATGCAGCACCAGGACGCTCGGGTACATAGCGTCAGGGCGTTGTACCGGAAAATAAAAAATTCAGGTGCAAACCACCAAAACCCAAGAGGGGGAGAACCCCTACAACCCCTAGTGAGCCCGACATACTAAATTGAGGCTTGAGACAGCAGTATAACTGATTGACTGACACAATCAGATTCCACACAAAACTAACACAATGAGCCTTGCTTTTCCAGCTTCAGTTATTCCATCTTTTTTTTTTTGAATCTTAACAACCTGATATTGAGAATTATGCAAGAAGAAGCGTACAGTTTTTTTCTCAGAAATCTTTTTTAGGAGTGCATTTTTCTTTATAATTTTATGAAAACTTTAATTCATCTGATACGACGCCTTAAGTTTCTTGTTATCATACAAGTTGTGTTTACAAAAAAGTCAAGCACACTGATGGAGTGCTTAAAAGCTCTTTCAGGACGTACACGATATTATTAGATCATACCACAGGAGGTACGTAATAGTTATAACATTTTGATTTTTGTTTGTTGATATTCTTGTTATTCTTCTGCTTACAATACTTATATCTTCTGCATAAGTTATAAGAGCGAATCCATTGGAAGAGAATATATGGGAAGAATTCCTTCTTATGAAGAAAAAGTTCAGGCGCTGAAGAAAGCTGAGATGCTTCAAAGTCAGATGGCATCGAATCACCCCTCATTCGTTAAACCAATGGTTCGATCGCATGTGTCTAGTTGTTTTTGGCTTGTGAGTTTGCCTTCTCTAGATACTATAGAAATACTTTGTTTTAAACTAATTACCAAATGTTGAAAAAACTAATTAGTCATCTTCTCCCTCGCCACACTTAGGGTCTTCCAACAAAGTTTTGCAAGGACCACCTGAATCCTGATGTGATGACAATGGTATTAGAAGATGAAAAGGGTGAAGAGCATGAATCCATTTATATCGGGAAGCGTACTGGCCTTAGTGGTGGGTGGAAAAGCTTTGCAGTGGATCACAATTTGGAAGATGGAGATGCTTTAGTATTCAAGTTGATTAAACCCACCAGATTCAAGGTATTATTCATTTTTGTTTCTAGCTTCAAATCCTTTTTTTTTTTTGGATCTTGATGGAGGCAATCTTAGGCTATAGAGTTTTATAATACGAATATAAGGATCAGATGCACAAAGAAATATATCAGATATCAAAATTCAATATAAAATGACTTTTTGGCAAAACTGTCTCTTTGATGTAAAATTAGAAAGCATAAAATCTAGCTCCAAACTATAATTTAAAGATGTTCAAAATCTTAAATTTTACAAAAAACTTGCAGCAGCTGAGATTTATGCTAAAAAAAAAAGTTAATAGGAACAAGCCTCAAGCAGATGCAGTAGGAAAGTCGTTAATAGCAAAGCAGCGATTTAAAAATTATAAAGATCTGCAAATCATCAGGATCTAAAACTGTAGTAATAGACGATGCTGAAGTAGAGAATTGGAATTTGGAACATCGGTTGAAATAAAGCATTTGACAAGAACTGAATCGTAACAACTTTTTGTTGTGAATCAAATTCATCAAGATAACCAAAACTTCAGAGAAGTATCTTGTTTTTATAGGTACTATCATCATAGGCATTCTGCATCAAGAGAATCCAAAAAAAAATGAAATGATAACAAATCGCACTTGACTGGAACATCCAACGAGTATAAATTTTCAAATTTGATTTGTGATCTTGAATTATATCTAGCTTGTGTTCCACCTGAGGATTTGGATTCAGCTTCATAGTTATTCGCTTCTTATTTTGAATGGGCTCAGTCATTCTTTTGTTTTTTTTTAATGAAAGGCACATCAAAATTAATTTTATTAATAATTAATAAATAAAATTCAAAGAGAGCAATCACCAACTGTATGGGCACAAGATTGATTCGAAGGCATTCTATCCAATCTTAAGTTGATCAAGTCCAATAATCAGTCAACTTGATCCGATATCAAACAAAACCAAATATGACAGACTAATTCTTACTTGATTAGAGACAAACTAAATACACAATAACTTTATTTTAGTTCATTTCAAGTGAAAACCCAATTGGATTTGATCGGTTTTTATCTTCAAATTGGGCCAAGTATGTGCAACAAAGGGCATAATTGATGTAGGACTACATGTATTGACAAACGCGATTGATTTGAAAGTTACACCTACATGAGTGTAGTTTTGTAACTAATTAACTTATCGCGTTCTTAGCAAAGGTTTAAGCCAACCAAATAATGATTAAGATCATGCAATTAGTTACATGATAAGATTAGGATCATAAAATGATCAAATCAAAATTATGTCATGCTAATGTGAGGCGTTCAAAGAGAATATCTAAATTAACAATTAGATTAGTCATTATAAAGATCCACTCACACAATGTTCTTGGTAGGGTTTTAAGCGGAGACGCTTTCACAATAAATCGATGCCACGGTTGAGGGGGGGAAGTTTATTTGGCAAGTTAAGAGAGTTGTCAAACGTAGAATATTAGTTAAGGAAGGAGGAATTATATAAAACTCTTCTTAAATTCAAACTGACATGATTTGGGGGACTTTCCTAACATAATTAACTCATTACTCATCTTATTTTAAGAAAGAAATTTCAAATTCAAATGAATTAACATTTGAATTTAAGACTTTCCTAATTTAAGATGCGTCAAATATGGAAAGTATTGATTACTTGAGTTGAAATTTTGGAGGCAATGGGAAAGAGGTAGATAGACGGCGGCTAGGAGGAGAAGGGGGCCGTCAGTTTAAGGTGGGAGGTGGCCAAGGGATGGGTTGTGGAGTGGCCGACGGCTAGGGGAAGGAGTGGGTCGGTGGCTAGGGGAAGATAGCAAGATGAACTTGAGGTGGAGATAAACCATGAGCCCGGACGCTTCCTGCGGCTGATGGGTAGTGCTTTGCCCTTACCAAGTGACTTCAAACTCTCACAACTCTCCTAGAAACAAAGTGCATAAAATTTTTTAATCATAATAATCATCATCCTCTCCAAAGAGGGAGAGGGGCCTATAAATAGACAATATAATAACATGTCTAATGATAAAAGTGCCCCCTGGGTTCACATAAGCCTACTCCCTCAAGTGAGGGTAAAAATGAAAAAAAAGGTACATAATAAAATCAAATACAAATAGATGCTCAAAAATAAAGTGGATTAATCGTAGCCGTCGATCTCCTGTTCCTTCTTTGATAGACTTTTCATGGTTAGATGTCCTCATCAATAATATTTACCAATTAAGTGGATAAATGATATTGATGTGAAAGAGTTGAGAAGGAAAAGAGGTAGCATAAACGAGATATGACAAGAATTTGTAAAAGAAATTTGCACAAAAATATAGTTGGCTGGTCATTTGGAAGGCATCATCAGTCAATCTATAGCTTGGATAGGAATGGCAATGGTGTTCTTTTATCATGTAACTTTCGATATATTGTTGTTCTTGTTATTCTGCACATTTTGATATATGCTTTCTAAACTGACTTTGCAGATATACATTGTAAAGGCTGTTGGGGGATCACCTGTAGTAGCAAAGGAGAAGAAGGACCCTTCATCCCTCCTTCCCAAACAAGTTGCAGAAAAGGAATCAACAAAACTAGTAAGCAATATAAGGAAGAGAAAGATAAAAAGAACATGACCTTTTAACTGAGTTGAAGCACAGGGATGCTGCTTTAGGCATCAATAACAATTTTGTTTTCCTCATGACTTCAAGCTTAGAGACTTGATATAGACTGAAAGTCATTTTTTGATGAGCAATTATAAAGCTTGAGGCGGTTTTGCTTGGATCTTAGGTTAATTGCTACTTGATGTGAGCTTATAAAAATTCTAATTATCTTCTTAATTCAAGTGATCTTCTTAATTCAAGTGCTGCAATGCAGTATGTATTCTGGTTTGATGTTGGGAGTAGGGGTGTAAACGAGTCGAGCCAAGTTTTGATACTATCAAACTCAGCTCGTCAATCGGAAAGCAAGCTCAAGCCGAGCTCAAAAGGCGAGCTCGAATTCGAGCTTGTCCCACTATAAACGAGCTTGAGCCTGCTCGTGAGCCTCTGCGGTCAGTCGTTTGCGTCGTCTGAGTTCGAGCAAGTCACCTGACTCGCGAGTCGTCCGCTTGTGATTTCTCGCCAGTAGTTCGCAAATATTCCTGCACGCAGAACTATCGTCCTCGATTTTCCACCCACGAAACTCCTCCGTGAGCCGCTCGACAAGCTCACGAGTCGAGCGGTGTGTTGTTCGAACTCGAGCTCGATAAACTGTCGAGCTCATAAACCTATTCGATCCCAACTCACAAGCTTAATAAACTCGACTCGTCGAGCTTGTTAACGAGTTGAGCCCGAGCTGGCTCGTGTGTCGGCTTGACTTGGTTACACCCCTAGTTGGGAGAGATGAATAGTTTGGTTAGAAGATATTTAATGTAATTACTTAAATTAAATAGATTTGGAATAAAATTTCAGATCATTTTAACAAACTTATAATTGAGTTGAGCATTTAATCACGGTGAATTTAAAATGTCTAAAATTGTACAAATTTGAGGTCAATAAAATACATATATGTTTAAAAAATGTCAAAAGTATAAAGGGATCACTAATGCTCGACGAATCAAATGTTTGAGATTTTAATAAAAATAATAAATAATCATAATAAAAGGTATATAAATAGGTTATTATTCTACACTTCTAGAAAAACTCAAGAAGAGCGACTTTATAATTTTGAATAATTCTAAAGTTCTGTTAATTAATGTTAATTATCATTACTATGATTGTCATTGCTCGCTCATTGTGGGTCAGAACTGACGAACATAGTTTTTGTTTCTCATCACTTTGCCGTTGTTGCCTCCTGTCAATTGACATCGACATTCACAAATTACTTGAAAATCACCACCCCATGCTTTGAAAATTATTAGGTGTGGAGTCCGGACATAGAGATGTGTCTGAACATCTACTTAAAATTTGACACGTGTAGTGCACTTTGGTTGTACTTTTTGTGTGTTTTACTTGTGCTTTATCTGCGTTTTAGTTGCACTTTAGTTGTGTTTTGACTGCTCTTTTGTTATGCTTTTTATTGTGCTTTGACTACGTTTTTCCTGTGTTTTACATGCGCTTTGGTTGTGCTATTGGTGCGATTGGCTTAAAGTTTCACAAACATATTAAATACAACAACAACATCAAGCCTTTATCCCACTACGTGGGGTCGGCTACATGAATCATTTTTCTCCATTATGTCCTATTAAAGGTCAAATTCTCGTTTAAATCTAATAAAGAAAGGTCATTCCTAATATTTTCTAACCATGTCTTTTTAGGTCTGCCTCTACCTTTCTTAACATAAGTCAAATCTAATACCTCTACTCTCCTAACCGGGTCATTGGAAGGCCGCCATTTTATGTGACCAAACCATCTAAGGCGACTCTATCTAATCTTATCTTCTACTAGAGCTACTCCAACCTTTTCACGTATATGCTCATTTCGTATCCTATCTCTAAGGGTAAAGTCACTCATCCACCTGAGCATCCTCATCTCTGCCACACTTAACTAAGTATTATGCTTCTCTTTTAATGACTAACATTCAGCATCATAAAGCATTGCAGACCTCACTACCATCTTATAGAATTTTCACAAACAAATTAAATATATAAAATAAAAAATAAATTCAATTTGAATATTCACATATCAACTCCACGTGTCAATATTTTATTTGAGTCCGGACATATTTGTACCTCCGAACTCCGCACCTAATAATTTCTCAAACGTGGTGCTTCTCTAATATTCTTCACTATTTTCACTAGATGCCAACCAACAATTTAGAGTTTGTAATATCATATTCTTTGGTTAAAGGGATTGACGAGCTTTTCAAATCCTGAAATTGCATAGTGAATATTTTGACGAGCTTAAAGGGATTGACGAGTTTTAGTTGAGCAGGCTCTATATTTTTTTCTCTATCTGGTTTTTCCAATGTAAATTCTCATGAGTCCCTTCTGAATTATTTCAGCCTGTTTTGTTTGTATTGAACTTCTGTGCAATACTTAGACAAATATTTCACTATACTACTTCAAATTCTTAGCTAGCATATGCAATATTGTAACTCTTGATTTGAATGCCAGTATAATATATATCAAGTTGAGCTAGAGAACACTTGAAAATTTCAAATAATTTAAAGAGTATTGTCATGCACAAAGCTAGGGGTGTCAAAAAATAATTCGACTCGAGAAATTCGGGTTCGAGTTGACTCGTTTAATAAACGGGTCGAGTTTAGGTTGACTGATAAACCCATTTTTGATTTGAAATGACTTGTTTATTTTTTTTTTAAGTTTTTTTACTTGTAGGTATAATCAAGATTTTGAAAACCAGACTGTACAACGAACTAGAATGAGAGGTTCACGATTCGATTGGTCGAACTCAATGATATAATAAATAATATTATTATTAAAATTTATAAAATAAAATAAAGATTTATATTTAACCTAATAAAGCATAACTAACTTTATAAAACATAAACTAATAACACATAATAAAAATGAGGCATCAAGTAAGTTTATAAAATATAAACAAATATTTTATAAATAACTTAAGCAAGATTTATAACTAGCCTAATAAATGGAGAGTAATTGAAATTAAAAAAGCATCACCAAACAACACACCTTGCGGCTTCGAGTTCCCACATGAGGTGGTTCAGCCATCCCGCGGCTACTGGTTCCCACTGTCACACTCCAAAATCTATATTAGAAGAATTACATATGTCTTTCATGTTAATCATTTAACTAGAGTTTACCAATGACTAATGAAAAGAAACATGTATGAATTTTTGTAAAATCACATAATGAACAAATAATTCAGCAAGTAACTAAAATCAATATAAGATAAAAAATAACAATATGCTATAAATCATATAAAAAAGTATATGCATCAATATCTATACTGATTATCTATATCAATTTTTTATTCTATAATTCATCACATCTCAATTCATTATATCATCAATCACAGTATCAACAATAATTAATAAGATTAATGTTAGTAACAATATTAGTATCATGATCAATAACTTTAAATAGCATTAATGACATAAAACAATATTAATGCCAGTTACAATATCGGTACAACATTTGTACGTAGCAGTGTCAATATTAGTATTCAGATATTCCATGAATGTATCTTCAGAGTATCTTGATCATGCACTTATGACTCTCAGTTAGGCGCCCCTTATAGCTCCCAATACATGTTCTCCTTATAACTACACTTGAATCATGTGAATTTGACGCCCCGACTCCTCATAACTCACAATCAATCTCCAACTCCTTATGACTCACAATTAGTGAATCAAGTGGATAAGTAGGGTATCATGTGGAGTTATTATATCATGTATTTGATATCAATCAGTACTTCATTTAAAATGAAATAAAGTGATATCAAATCATTTAGAATGATCAAATATATATAACATATCCAAACTTACATGTTGAAAGCTAATGAAATCAGGAGATAATGTATTTTTGGTTGATTTAAAAATTAAAAGAAATAAAATTTGTAGAAATCAAAATTATTGAAACAAAAAATAAGAGCCTAGTCACTTACAATGAATAGAACAAAATCTATAACATGAATTATTGACAAATATGATCCAAAGATTTTTCTCTCCTCTCTCTTCTTCCCCTCTTTCAATTTCTTTCTGGCCTAACAACCAAATGAAGGAGTCGGTTGGGTGATATATATATATATATATATATATATATGGCCTAACATCGCAGCTTGTTGGGTGTTGAGGAATGCATACCATCTCCAGTTCTCTTTTTGTAGCATGTGCACCATATAAAATTGTTAAAAAATGAAATGAATTAAAATATATAACATAATAGACAATTAAGAAGTATATAAAATAGTGCAATATATATCATTTTTAAAAATTAAAGACATAAAGTAATGAGTAACATACCTCTTCATAATTTCTCCTCTATTTTTTTTTAAATCTTCATTTTATTTTTTCTAGTAGATGTTTTATGCACGAAATAAAAGAAGCAACCAGCAATATATGGAACTGCAAAACCAACTAAGATATTACTTCTTAATAGTAATACATATAAACAATTTTGACAAGGGAATTGCATCAAGTTTATAAGTTTTTCCTTCTACATGGACACATGGCCAGCAATATAGAGCTTCCTTTCATTAAGTTGTTAAATTTGTAATAACACCTCTCTCCATGCATTCTACCATGCAATACAAACAAAGGGGAAAAAAACCCATCAACTAACTCCATCTCTTAAAATCTCTTAAAAGTTTTGGAAGGAATCATGCCATGATATTAACCACGACCAAAGTAACGTAGCATGATCAAATTATCACTTACACCATGCATTTTTGATGTTATTGGTAAATCAGGGTCATAAATGTTTTTGAAGGAAACATGCCATGATATACCATTCATTTTTGATATTGGAGAAGCGAAGACGACGACTGATAACTAATGCTACTAGTACTAATTTCAAGCTATGGCTTCATTTTCTTCAAAAAACATTTAAAAAAAACTTACATCTACTCACACGAATGCAGATAGGTTCGTTGAGTCCTATTCGTAATGACTAAATAGGAGAAGATAATGCTAAAGAAGAATAATGGCAGCCGTTCGTCGAGTGCTGTTCGCAACCACAAACGAGAACTTTCTTTCATATGCTCAAGCGAATGCAAATAGGCAAAGGGTAGAGGCAACAGATGCGAGCAGGGAGTGAACGAGGTTAGGTTAGGGGACAGGGAATAGAATCAATGAATCATATTATTAGGTTTTTATTTCACTCAGATACTGCTCGATCCAATATCCGATGGTCGCAGTTGCGTTCGAAAAAAACTGATCGATTTTTTTAGAATTGGCGCTTATTTGTCATTTTCTCAATCAAACCACTGGGTCGACTGATTCATCACCTGTTTAGTGCTATCCCGGTTTCGGAAAGTTTTAGAACGGCCCGGCTACGACTCAACTAGTTGAACCGACCGGTCCATTCCGATTTTTAAAACATTGGGTATAATCTTATTGTTTATATTAAATATGTTAAATTTTATAGTTAATAAGTTGTAATTTTATTAAACCAAAATAAATTAACGAGTCGGGTTCATGTTAGTTGGGATGTTATTGGGTTGGGTTCGTGTCATTTGGGTTGTTAGCGGGTCGAAATAGGGTTAACTGGAAAATACAGCATTTTTCAACATATAATTTACTAATTCTTCGACTCGGTTCATAAGAGACAGCAAAGAAAGCTCCACTCCCGTTGAATGATTACTCTCCATGTCGAGTTACGCGCCCACCAACGTCAAATCATTTCATTCCCTCCCAACTGCTGCCCTCGAACATACACAAAACTACGTAATTGCCACCCTAGGTAAACAAACGTCAAACGCGAGTCTAGTTGGTCAAAAAAGAAAAGAAAAAGTTCAATTATTTAAATTTCCTAAAAAGAATGGACCGATTTCGAATCTTACGTGTCGCCGCCACGTTAAAAGTGAGTTTTCTTTAGTGCGCTAAATTTTTTGAGAAATTTATGAAAAAACCTAAAAAAAAAAATTAATATAATCCAAATAGTTATTAAACTCAATTATTTATGCTATGTAATAGGGGTGTCAATTTTTGACACGACCCGAAAAACGATGCAAATCCGACCCAGAAAAATCCGGGTTAGGGTCAACCTGAACTCGAAACAGGTCGGGTTCGGATTCAATAAATCAACCTGTTTTTAAAATCGGGTCGGGTTCGGGTTGACCCAACAACCCGAAATTAACACGAAAACTCCTATTTGGCCCGGAAACTTGAGATTGAACCGCTTTTGACCTGAAAATCGAAGATTGACTCGATTTTGACCCGAAAAACTAGCAATTTTAGGTCAACTTCGGGTCGTTCGTGTCAAGTCGGGTTCGGGTCCGGAAACCTGACCCGTTTTAAAAAATGGGTCGGGTTTCTGGTTGACCCGAATAGTGCCAGGTCAGTTCCGGGTTCGACCCGAACCCGACCCGTTGACCCGAATTGATACCCCTACTATGTATGATAAATTTCTTAAAAAATTAATAAATTGTAAAATTTTAATTTAATATTTAAATAATATTTTAATAAAAAAATAAAAGGGTTATCCCACAATTATATAAGTAAATAAAATCTAAATATCACAAAGAATTATCCCAAATTTCATAGCTAAATATTTACTATAATTAATAATTTATTTAATATTATTTATTATTTTTATTATTTAAATTCAATTTTATAATACTAATACCTTTGAATTTATAATGTCTATGCTAATTAATATTAAATATGTGGCCCTAAAATTTTCTAGAGCCAATATAAAAACAGCAAAAAGCTTAATTAAGGAAGTTGGTGTGTAATTAGGTTGTTTTTAGAGATTATTGCTAATAAACCAATTATTGAAAAGACCTGTTAATTAGATTGCTACTAGTAAGGCATGTGAGGTGGGTCATTTTGGTTTGCAACAAACCAAAATGGGTTTTAATGGCTAAACATGAAATATTTTAAGTGCTAAATTAGATGGGGCATCATACATTTTGATTTTATTAGGAGCGGTTTGAAAGAATATATTTTAGATTTCATTTGAGATGATTTTCTTGCTGATTTTAAGGCTTTTTTTTAGTACAAAATTTTTAATTCAAAAAATTTTGTACTAAAAAGTTATTTTAGAAAGCAACAAGAAAATCATAAGGCTTTGTTTGAGACGTATTTCTTATTGTTTCTTAAAGCAACTTTTTACTACAAATATTAAAACTTTTATACTAAAAAATTGTTTTAACAAACAGTAAAAAAACTGTCTCAAATGAAGCCTTAGTCTCCTATAATTTATCTTTATCATAGTTAATATTTTATTATTACAAAATAGAAATATAATGAAAAATTTGACTTTATATATATCTTAATGCATTTATTTGATCTGATATGTCATTTACATTTTTATTTAATTAAATATCCTGGAAGTTATTTTTTGATGAAACTATCTTTATATAGAAATAAAAAGGTTAACCCCTTACAACCCGAGCATTTATTTTTCAAAATTTTTTGTTATCCTTGCATGCGGTCCCTTCCAATATTAAAAGGAAAGATGTCAATTAAATTCAATGAGATTATTTATTAAAATCAATCTAAAAATTATTAAATTTATTTTAAAATAAATATATTATTTGTATACATATACATACATCAAAATAAACTATGTATACATATACTTATAACCTCAAAATAAATTAAATTTAAATATTTTGATTTGGCCGAATTTTTTTTATTTCCAATTATCATATTCTTCTGTGAAAAAAAATATGATCCAGCAGTTGAATTCTGTTATTTTCATTAAAGTATTAATTAAAATTACCAGAAAAAAAAAAAACCTATCATAAACTTCCATAAACTCACCCGACAGGCACGGTACGTGGGCCCACCGGTGCGAAGCACCGGCCTGAAGCTGATAACCAACGTACCATCACCCCAGTGGCTATCCCGTAAATATCATGCAAGACGAAGGCTATTATTAGCTTTCCCACTTTTCCCCAACATACTCCACCTGCGGACCCCTTCCTTCTACTGCTCACTTCCGTCGTGTTCTTCTTGCTAGCGAGTACGATAAAGAGCAAATTGAGGTAAAAACAGGAGAAAGGAAGAGGATGGTAATGGCGGCGAACACCTTCCCGTCTTCCTTCGTAAAACTCTCTTCCACTTCTCCTCGCTTCTGCAACTCAGTCAGCAAGAGGTGAACGATCTTGCTTGCTTACTTTTTTACAACTATTTCGGTTAATTACATTTTGGGATTTAGAAGTCTATTTAAAGTGTGATATGTTTCTTTTGTTCGCTTTTCTTCAATTGGATTTCTTAAAATGGTTTTGTTGTTGTTTTTTAGATTAATTTGGTGAGTTGTTTTACTTTTTTTTTTTAATTTGCAAGAGGACTGAGATATTCTCGATTTTTTCGTTGCTGAACAAGATTTTTGTTATTATTTGGGGACGTAGGATCTTTTCAGATGTTGCAGGAGATATCACGATTTTTGTTGATGGGCAATCGTTCTTGTTACACAAGGTATAAATCGTTCCCTGTCGATTAATTGCTTAAAAAAATTACGTTAATGTTATATATTTTGCGCCATTTCCCTTGTTCATGGAGAACTATTGTGGATTTCTCATTTCGTTAATGAGAAATATTTGGAAGTTTTGAATAATTGGGGTAATAGGGTTAAGAGCTAGAAATAACTAATGAATCGATAGAGGATCAACGAACTGTGAAGCAAATTAACTTTAGGCTCTGAAGTTATGTTGTTCTGGTAGGTTTCTTATGGCCCACTTAGAATGTCTGTCAATGACAAGGGTGCAATAATCTCAAATCGTTGGTGTAGATTCATAGTGTTAACTTGTACATTGTGTTGATTTCATTTACTTTTTATTTCCGTCAGTTTAAACACAAAATATAAGATCTGCCATTTATCACCAAGCTTGTGGTTTTATATTCGTGTAATTATTTTGCTCTCAAAGCTATGTTTTCTAATTTTTTTTCTTCATTCAAGATGGCTGATAGAGGGATTGTATAAGCTATTGCAATGTGGATTTCATTCTCTAAGTATTTGCAAAAGAAATAGTAATTAGCTAGATTTATAGTTGTAGTTTTGGTTTCTGTAAAACTCCTGTTAACTTATGAATGTAGGATGTGTCTAGTGATGATTTATATATATTTATCATATTAATTGGGGATAAAGCGGACCTGGTGCGCGCCTTTGATACTTGATACCATCTTATGTTTCATTAGATTTCATTAGATTAGTCTCTATATGTTATTGTAAATTTTTCTTTTTTCAAACACAGAAATCTGAGTGCATATCCTTGCTTCACCGAAATGCTTTGCTATTTCTTTCTGTTTGTGTGAGTTATCTGTAGATATCTTTTATATTCTCAGTTGAATCGTTCCTTAGTTCTTATTTGATGATTTCTTGTCTTTGAAGTTCCCTCTGGTTTCACGGAGTGGGAAAATTCGTAAAATGGTGGTGGACTCCAGGGATCCAGATCTCTCTAAATTGGAGTTTTTCAACGTTCCAGGCGGCTTCTTTGCTTTTGAACTTGCAGTTAAATTCTGTTATGGAATGAATTTTGAGATTCAGACTAGCAACGTTGCCAATCTCAGATGCATAGGTGAATATCTAGAAATGACGGAAGACTATAGAGAGGGAAACCTTATTGCCCAAACGGAAACCTACATGACTGATATAGTATTGCAAAGCATTGAGAAGTCAATAGAGGTTCTTTGTGCTTGCTCTAGCTTACTTCCCATTGCAGAGGAGGTTGGTATTATAAATAGATGTATAGATGCCATTGCTGCTACTGCAAGTAAGGAACAATTGGCTTGTGGTTTAGCCCGGTTAGAGTGCAATGGAGGATCTGGAAAGCTGGATATGGACTGCCAGGATTGGTGGGTGGAAGATCTATCAGCATTAAACATCAATCATTATCAAAGAGTAATAGCTGCTATGAGGAGAGCAGGAGTTAGATCAGATAGCATTACAGCATCACTTATCCACTATGCTCACACTTGTTTGAAAGGTATTGAGAGACGCCAGGCATGGGATTCTAACTTGTCTTTTGGAGATGAGCAGAGAGTCATTGTGGAAGCACTTGTGGGTCTCTTATCAACTGAGAAGATCAAATCTGTTCCACTAGCGTTTCTGTTTGGGATGCTTAGGATTGCAATTGAAGTGAATGCATCAGTTAGTTGTAGGCTTGAATTGGAGAGGATAATTGGTTTTCGGTTGGAAGTGGCATCACTTGACGATCTGCTAATTCCCTCGTTGCAGAAAAATGATTCTGTGTTTGATGTTGACACTGTGCACCGAATATTGGCAAATTTCATGCAGAGGATTGAAGAGGAAGATTCCGATGAATCTTCACAATGTGGATATGAGTCTGAAGGTCTAAACTCTCCTAGTCATAGTTCTGTTCTTAAAGTAGGGAGGCTTATTGATGGTTATCTTGCTGAAATTGCCCCTGATCCATATCTGAAGCTACAGAAATTCATGGCAATTATTGAACTCTTGCCAGATTATGCCAGAGTGATTGAGGATGGGCTCTACAGGGCTATAGACATATACTTGAAGGTATTTTTTTACTTTTAATTTGCACACTTTTATTTCAATAAGTTTAATTTGCACACTTCTGTTTCAATAAGTTTAATTGTCTGGAAAAGATCATGTTAGGATTGGTTCAGATTTAAGTTAAGTCGTTTCGCAAGACATCACACCTGTAAATGCTTATAAATATCATTATAGATTGGTGTATAATTTGGGAAAAATTGAATAAATCTTTAGGAATATTTTCCTCCTAAAATCTATCATCTCTCTCTCTCTCTCCTTCCTTCTCTCTTCCTCTCTCTTGCAAGAAGCTCAAGAAGAGCTCAAGAATTCCTCCCAATTTCTTAACAGATCATGTAAGCCTTTACAGACTATCTTTATTGCTATTCTTTTCATTAACTATTTCCCTCTACATATTGTTTTTCAGAACCTATGATCTTTATCTGGTCCATCCTATCACTTCCCAATGTCCCTATGAGAACAATCTGGCTAAAGTTTAAATGCACAACTAGATTTCTTTGTGCAACAGTTGTATGGAAAGGCCCAGCTTTGGTGAGAAATTCGACTTCTATTTGCATTATTAAGCACTTGAATTATGGGACTTCGAATCCCCTCCAATTAACAATGACCATGAATCTATGAGGAATGCATGTTCTAAGGCCCACTAATGCTAATAGTATATATGATCTACTTAGAGTTAGAGAGAATAAACACTTTAAGTTCCATATTAGGGAATAAATAATATAATGAGTATTTAGTTGGTACTAAGTTGTTATTACATTATTAGTTGATTTTTAGAGTTTGGTTTATTTTAAATCGTGCTTGTTGAGCCTCTCATCAGGCGTGCATTTGATTTCCACCATCTTGATCCATCTGCCTTTGGAAACCCAGGTTGCAGATACGTACATCTCTGTCTCTCCTCCCTTGATTTGGTTGTGATCTACTGTACCTCGAGGGCATGGTTGTTGTGAAGGCCTAGGGAATTTTAGGGAATAAATAATGTAATGGATATTAGTGGTTAGTTGTTATTAAGTTATTAGTGAGTTATTATATTTATTTGTAGGCTATAAATAAGCATCATATTAAGAATTAAGACAAGCAGAAAAAGCAAATATGAGAAACCCTTGATATTTAGCTACCCCCCTGCCCCTCAAAACCCAACCGGTGGTTGTAGGCACTCTAAAATTGTCTAAAACCCTCTTCCCCATCTACCCATAGCCATAGACATGCCACATCTTTTCTAGTTACTATCTTTTAATGCAATATTTTACAGATTTCTAGCTTTAAGTACATATCAGTCAACCCAAACTATATCAAGTTGAGTTTGAGTATGTTTTATTCGATCAACTTTAATTCAAAAATTTAAATTATTGTTTTGCTTGAACTATACTAAAAAAATTAAATGATTTATAGTTGTGCTGGTTAACACTGCCGTTGTCAGGTCTCAAGTCCTGGATGAGAAAAGTTGAGGGTTGCGTTAGGTAGTCGTCAGCCAGCGTAAAACTTGTCAAATAATCATGACGTGAATCCTTTAAAAAATTGTGTTAATGCTAGGGCGTCCCCTGGAAGCGACGCGCTGTATGGATTGAATATAGTGACAAGTGTGCAAGGGCCGCCGCACGGCGCCCAGGTGCAGTGTTAAACAGGCAAGGGTTCCCACATCAAGGACGGATGTGGGCAAATAAGCTAGTCCATGAAACTAAAATTAGGATAAGAACTTGGAATATAGGCTCCGTTATAGGAAAAATAATAGATATTATGATTCATATGAAGATAAATATCCTGTGCATTTAGGAAACTATGGATTGAAGAGAAAGCTAAGGAGATTAGTAGTTTAGGATATAAAATATGGTATTCAGGTAGGAGTCGTACTAGAAATGATCTAGGTGTGATTATAGATAAAAGTTTGAAGGATAATATTATAAAAATTAATAGAATTGGAGATAGAATTATAGCTTTAATGATTATTGTTGATGCTAAGATTGTTAATGTTATAAGTGCTTATGTTTCTCAAGTAAGTTTGAATATGAGTTCAAAATTAAAATTTTGGAATGACTTAGAAGAATTAATATAAAACATACCTCTTGAAGAAAGAGTTTTTATTGGAGGAGATTTAAATGGACATGTTGGTAGAGAGGTAGATGATTTTAAAAGCATCCCTAATGGCTATGGGTTTGGAACGACAAATGAAGGTGATAAGATTAAATTAGATTTTTTTTAGCTTATGATTTCTTAATAGTTAATACCTTATAAAACACTTATTACAAGAGATGAGCATCTTATTACTTATAAAAATAGATATAGTAAAACACAAATTGATTATTTTTTTATAAGAACATTAGATAGTTTAGATTGCAAAGATTGTAAAGTTATTTCGAGTGAAAATTTATGTACCCAACATCGATTATTAGTTTTGAACTTTAAAATAAAGAGGCAAAAAAAAAGTAAAATAATTTTCTAGGATTAGATTGGGGCATCTAAAGAATATTAATAAAAATATTTTTGAGATTAAGATTTTAAATCTTAAGATTCTGTCTATGCATGAGGATGCTAATATTATGTGGAAAAAAGTGGATAGTGATATTAAGAATATTGCAAAAGATGTGCTAGGAGTTTCGAAGGGAAAAGCTTCTAATAGTAAAAATACTTATTGGTGGAATCCAAATGTGCAAGAAAATATAAAAAATAAGAAAATTTATTATAAAAATTGATTTAGATGTAAAAATTTTGATAATTGGAAAATCTATAAAGAGGCTTGTAAAGAATCTAAGAAAGCTATTGACGATGTAAATATCTTAGCTTTTAATGATTTATATAATAAATTAGATACTAAGGGGGGAGAAAGATATATGTATAAATTAGCCAAACAAAGATATAGAAGTAGTAAGGATTTAGTTCAAGTGAAGTATATTAAGGAGGAAGATAAAAAAGTACTTTTCTTAGAAGATGATATTTAACAAAGGTGAATGAGATATTTTGTTAAACTTTTTAATGAAGAATGTGAATATATAATTGATTTTAGTGACTTTATCACCCTAAATAAAAATAAAGATTTTTGTTTTTATCGGTGTATAAGTAAAATCGAAGTTAAAGAGACATTGAAGAAAATGAAGTGTGGAAAAGCTTTTGGACCGGATGATATTCCAATAGAGATGTGGAAATGCTTAGGAGATGAAGGAATTTCTTGGCTTACTAAATTTTTTAATAATGTTTTGAAGACTAAAAAGATGCCAGATCAGTGAAGAATGAGTGTGTGAATTCTTATTTTTAAAAATAAAGGTGATGTACAGGAGTGTGCAAATTATAGAAGAATTAAGTTAACGTGTCATACTTTAAAACTATGGGAGCGAGTTATGGAGCGTAGGTTGCGGCGTGATACTAATGTTTCTCAAATTCAATTTGGATTCGTGCCGGGTAGGTCCACTATGGAAGACATACATTTATTGAGAGGTATGATGGAGAAATATAGAGAGAATAAGGAAATCTACATATGATATTTATTGATTTAGAGAAAGCATATGATAAAGTTTCAAGAGAAGTGCTATGGAGAGTTCTTGAAAAGAAAGGAGTTAATAACGCTTATATTCAAATCATTAAAGATATGTATGCATGAGTTATTACTTATGTTCAAACACAAGGTGGTTTGACCAAGTATTTTCCTATTTCGGTTGGATTACATCAATGATCAGCCTTAAGTCCATATCTTTTTGCTTTAGTAATTGATGTTCTAACTAGACATTTGCAAGAGGATGTACCTTAGTGTATGCTTTTTGTTGATGATATTCTTCTTATTGATATGACTAGAGAGGGAGTTGAAGGTAAGCTTGAATTATGGAGGTCAACCTTAGAGTTTAAGGTTTTCGCTTGAGTAGATCTAAAACTAAATATATGGAATGTAATTTTAGTAGCAATCGACCTAGTGAGGGTATTGTGACTTTGGGGCGATCAAGTCATTAATAAGAGTACTCATTTTAGATATCTTGGTTCTATTGTTTAGAGTGATGGTGAAATAGATGAGAATATTATCAGCAGAATTCTAGTTGGATGGTTGAAGTGGAGGAATGCATCGGGCTTATTGTGTGATAGAAAAGTCCCCCTCAAACTTAAGGGAAAATTCTATAAGATGGTAGTGAGACCTGTAATGCTTTATGGTGTCGAATGTTGGTCATTAAAAGAGAAGCATAATACTAAGTTAAGTGTTGCAGAGATGAGGATGCTTAGGTGGATGAGTGGCTTGACCCTTAGAGATATGATACGAAATGAGCATATATGTGAAAAGGTTGGAGTAGCTCCAATGAAAGATAAGATTAGAGAGAGTCGCCTTAAATGGTTTGGTCATATTAAACGGAGGCATTCCGATGACCCAGTTAGGAAAGTTGTGGCATTAGATTCGACTTATGTTAAGAAAGGTAGAGGTAGACTTAAAAAGACTTGGTTAGAAAATATTAAAAATAATCTTTCTTTATTATATTTAAATGAGAATTTGACTTTTATCCGGATACAATGGCGAAAAAATACGCTGGTGTTGTTGTATAGTTGTGCTGGTTCAAGTCGAAATTGAATGCTTGAATGGATATATTATATTCCAAGAGTACAATCACTAAGCTAAAAGGAGCCACTCGAAGTTATATATATATACTCATTGCTAGCTTATAGTGAAGTAAGGATATGGTAAATAGCTAAACTTAACACCTTTATTGTAAGCTTTTTATGCATGAAACTTCATTATTATAAGTTTAGTGAACTAGTTTTAAAGAGCTTTCTCGTTTATTTCTTAATCTTATGCTCTTGTCAATTATGTTGCCGTATACAACCCACACTATGGTCTTGTTTATTAATCATTTTGCTATGAAAACTTATTGTATTGGTTAATTTCTGCGAAAAATCTTGCAAATTGTCCGATGCTAAATTTTCTTGTAAAGCTAGCTTGATTTTATTTATATGCATGCACACAATAGTTATATTATGTTTATTTGCGCTTGTATATAGGTGAGTGAATTATTGTTTCATGTGTCTATGAGTTGATT